GGTGCCTAGAGTGGCCCCTGACAGCCAGCAAGAAAACATGGACCTCGAGCTTATACTTGCTAGCAACTGGATTTTGCCAACAATCTAAATGAACTTAAAGCAGATTCTTCTCTTGAAACTGCGTATAAGACCACAAACCGGCCAACAGACGTGATTAAGCAGAGAACCCAGTCCAGCCCACAGACTTCTGTCCTACAGAACTGTGGTTTCTGTAGTTTGGTGTGTTGTTTTAAGCCATAAAGTGTGTGGTAATTTGTTACACAGCAAAAGTAAACTAATGCAGCAGGTAAAATTACTTGTTCAAGGTTATAGAAGTCATGAATGAGTGACCTAGGCCCAAACATATTTCTCCTGACTCCAAAATTTCTTTCTCTGGTATTATCATTCTATGTCATTAAGCTGATACTCTATTTCTTATTCATTAGTGACTTTTTTAATGTAGCTTTTTTCTTACCCAAAGGCATATTCATGTTGGGAGGAGATCAAGGGCACATGCTTTAGAGGCAAAACCTGTGTTTAGAATGTTTGTGTATTTTCCTTTTCCTTATTTTGAATACACTTTAATATAACTGAACTGTAGGATCTTGAGATATTACTTTTCTATAAAGGAGGAACTGATACCTATGAGAAAGAATTATGGAGAGGATTCAAGAAGGTATTGCCTGAAGCACTATTAGAAGGCATATTTAACACAATAGGCAATCCATAAATGACAGCTATCAACCTTCATATAGTAATGCTGAAGACTGTATACACATAATCCTATAGTCTTTGAACATTCAGAACATGATATTCTGAAAGAGGTCATAAACTTTTTAATCCAAAGGAGAGCAGATTTCAGTTTGGAGAATAGAGCAGTTTCAGGAAGAAATAAATTAGGGGCAGAACTTGGGAGGAAGTAGGGTGAGAATTCCAAGTAATAATGAAAGTATTGCCTATTCCTCCTAAACCACAAGATTCACTTTGCCTATTGAAATCAGAGTAACTGAAATGTCCTTAGGAATGAGAAAGATGAGAAAAGAGCTCCTGAAAACACTGATGTGGAAGATAAATGAAGGTGCTTTTGTAGGTAACACACACACACACACACACACACACACACACACACACACACAACTGGGGTAGAAAAAAGATATATCCTAAAGTTAAAATCTTTAACTGCTAGAGAGGTCAAATTAAGAAATTATTAAATAAAATTTACAAGGAATAAAACAAATATAAAACCATAACTCTTACATTCAAACTGAGTCTTATACCTCAAAAGCTAGTATAAAATATTTTACCTTAAGAAGAGACCTATCCCAGGGAACCAGCACTGCACTAGGCTAGAAGATTCAAAAGCATGGGCTAGACCAGAGTTCTAGAACGAATATCGGCAAGTTAAAATCCACAGTTTGAGATATATCAGTGAGAAATGACAATTAATTGAAACTAACACTGAGATGAACCAGGTACTGGAATTATCTGAGGATTTTAAAGCAACCATCATAAAAATACTTCAACAAGCACAAATTTTTTGAAACAAATCAAAAATTTCAGCAAAGAAATAAAGTATATAAAAAGGATCTAAATAAAAATTATGGAACTGAAAAATACAATAGAACTTTTAAAAACTTCCTAAATGGGCTCAATAGTAGAATAAAGATGATAGAATCAGTGAACTGAGGATAAAGCAATATGATTTACTCAATGTAAACAACAGAGAGACATTAGACCTGGGGGTGGGGGTGGGGGGGGGAAATGAAGAGAATCTCAAAGACATGTAAGACAGTAACTAAAATTCCAACATTTGTATCATTAGAGTTCCAAAAGGAGAGAGAAAGGGAGTGGGTCTGAATGAGTATTGGAAGTTATGGCTGAAAACTTCTGAAATTTGGTGAAAGACACAAACCTATAGTTCCAAGAAGGTGAGCAGACTCCACCAGGATAATTCCAAGGAAATCCATGCCAAGACACCAACAGTAGTCTCCTCTTATTTGTGGGGCATATGTTCCAAGACCCCCAATAGATACCTGAAATTGCAGATATTACCAGACCCTATATATGCACACACACATATATATATACACGTAGTGTGTATATATATATGTGTATATATATATATACACACTATGTTTTTTTCTATATACACATACCTATGTTAAATTTATAAATTAGGCAATTTCACAGATAGAAGTTTTGTTTTTACTGTATAGCTCAGCAACCTCAACATATAATTTTAATTTTATTTATTATTAAGTTGAGAACTTTCACCTTTTTACTTAAAGGAAGCACTTTATAGTTTCTCTTTGGCATACCCAAATTGTCAGCATCACTATTCTTGTGTTTTGGGGCCATTATTAAGTAAAATAAGGGTTACTTGAACATAATCACTGTGATTCCACAACAGTCAATCTGATAACCAAGATGGCTACTAAGTGATTAACAAGCGTGTAGTATATACAGTATATACAGTGTGGATACGCAGGACAAGGAATGATACAGGTCCCAGGAGATTTCATGATGCTACTCAGAATGGCATGCAATTCAAAACTTATGAATTGTTTATTTCTGGAATTTTCCATTTAATAATTTTGGCCAATGATTGACTGTGGGTACCTGAAATCTTAGAAGGTGAAACTGAGAATGAGGGACTATTGTAATTAAATTCTAAAAACTGAGAACAAAGAAAAACTCTTGAAAGCAGGTAGAAAAAAACAACATATTGCTATGAGGAACACTATTTTGGATGACAGCAGATATTTGATTATAAAGCATAGATGCCAGAGGAAATGGCATGACATTTTTTAAGTGCTGAAAGAAAAGCACTGTCAACTGCAAATTCTATATCCAACAAAATGGTCCTTTAAGAGCAATGAGGAAATAGTAATGTGTTTAGATGAAGAAAAGCTGAGAGAATTTGTTGCTAACAAACCTACTTTTAGTGAATGACAAACAAAAGTGTTTCAAACAGAGGACAACTTGGAATTTCAGAAAGGAAAGTAGAATATCAAAATATGTAAAAATAGGGGTAAATATGATAGACTATATTTCTTCTCATGAATTTTTACAATTATATTTGTTGATTGGAACACAGATTCTAACAATATCTGATGCCAAAGGCAACAATATTAAAAATTGGGGAAGGCAAAGGGTTCTAAATAGAAGTAAGATTTCCATACTTCACTTAAAGTGGTCAAATGTTGATACCAATAGATTGCGATAAGTCATATATGCATATTGAAATACCCAGAGCAACAACTTTTTCTACAGAGATATACTCAAACACACTAAAAGTAAATCAGATGAAATCCTAAAAAATGTTTCAGTAACCCACAGGAAGGTGAGAAAAGAGAAACAGAGGAAAACGAGAAAACAAATAATACAATTGCATATTTGAGCTCAAATATATCAAGAATTACCTTAAATATAAATTTGGTAAATACACCAATTAAAAAGGCAGATTAGTAGAGTGGATTGCAAGAACAAAAGAAACACAAGTCAACAATATGGTATTTGAAGTGAGAAAAAACACTTCACGTTCAAAGACATACATAAATTGAAGGTAAAAGGGTGTTTTCATATAGTAATACGGAATATGTGAAAACAAAAATTAAGAACACGAAATGATTTATAATCACTCTAAAGAAAATAA